AGTAATGTTTCACAGCAAATGCGTAATGGCATCATTTTCCAGCAAAAGTGTTTAGTGGCCAAGGAGAAAATTGTGATGCACCGAATAGGGATGCTCCGATCAGGATCAGAGAATGATTTTGCATTTTCAGTAAGTCCGTCTGATTTACACCGCAAACATATTTAGCTTTTCCTATATTCACAGGCGTAGCGGATAATTCGCGGGTCGGGTAATAAAAAATGCATTCTGACTATTTGCGGGTGGATAAATTAAATCATAAGTGATGCAAATATTAACTACTTTTTTTAAAAAATAAATTGTCATAAGGCAGACGATTTTGTGTGTTTGTGTGTTTGTTCGCCTGATCGGGAAGTTGCAGTGACAGAAACGGTGACATTCCAGATAAAGTTTGAAAGGAGTAAAGCCTGTGTTAATGCTACTGAGTAGGCTAATATGGCCAAAGAAGATGTTTTGTTTTATAAATAAATGTTCATTTAAAAGCAGCCCACGATCAGCGTATTATGTTACTGTTATCCCTTACGGCTCCAATGAGGTTTTGTTCCATCCTCCACGCTGACACCTCACAAAAGACTATTTTTAGCCAAGCAATGCGGAGAGCCGCTTCAAAAACATGCCGCAGCTGGCTGATAAACAAGCATTAGAGCGGCCGCGATCAGCTCTGGTTCCCATGGAGCCGTAACGCGCCGCAGACGTGTGCAGTGAGGCGCAGATCAGCTCTAACGTCACTGAATCTGCTGTTAAAAATTAACCATCTGTTCATCATATCAAATCGTCATGCAAAACATACGCGACTACAAATAGCTAATTTTTCATTGTTTATCGAAAACGTCATAGCATTTCCACACCGGCGATGACATGACTGGCACCAAATCATTTATGTACCCACGCATCATGTACGTCGTCACGCGTTGACGTCATCAAATTGTGATCAGTTCGTGAGATCGGCCAAGTGTAGTGAGTACCGATCAAGTCATAAAATGTGATTATCGGCCGATACCAATCTCCTGCCGATCGATCGGAGCACCCCTAGCACCGAATAAACAATCTTGGCTGAAACCGAAGATTATGGGTTCAGAAACCCAGAACGTGTTTGTAATGCTGCTCTCCCATTACTTTTATCAGTAAAATAGCTTTGTTACTGAAAAGCTCACAGTCAGTGTTGGGTAAGTTACTCAAAAAAAAAAAAGTACAACCACCACAAATTACCAATTACTACTTTAAAATTGTAATTTGATTACATTACTGATTACTGCATTTAAAAAGTAATCAGATTACTAATTACTTTACTTTCAAGTTTACTTTTATCAAACCTGAAAAATACACTACAATGTGAAACTCTTCATTAATATTGACTGAAAAATTACATAAGTATTATTTGTATACACTCGAAATATCAACAATATCAAGCTAATTTTTTTTTTTGGTTTTGTAAAATAAAGAAAACAAATAGGATGCGCTTTCTGCATTCTCAGTCTTCGTGAATATCTTCCTGAAACGAGTCACTAAAATGAACGAAAAAGACATGAGAAGTATATCTAAAGAAAGTTTGAAGTGTCTATTTTTAAATGAAGTAGGGTATGTCGAAAACAAATATTCTCTGACAAAATAATCTGTATGAAACCAACGCAAGGTACAGTCTTTCCCATCTGAGCTCAATAATGTGATCATGCACATCGCGCGCTGTAAGATAACAATTCACGCGAAACCAGGCTTGAGACGCGCAAACATGTAAATGTCCACAGTTTTTGGAAGACACGCTGCGAGAAGTAAGCCTTGAATTTACCTCAGAAGTAACTTTAATATATACTTCTCACCATAAAATTAGTCCAAAAAAAAAAACGCCTTAAAAACAAACCAAACTAGCTGTGGACTATCTCTTACTTAAAGGCTCCAACAATTTTTAAAATAGTGTCGAAAAAGTGTCAGTGACTTCAAACACTGTTCCAAACAGATCTTGCTTTTTTGCCACACATCAAACACAATGCCCTCAAAATAACTCCTTATAAATAACTTTGCAAGTATTTGAATTCACTAATTGTGCTTGTACTGTGTAAACTAAATTAGAAATTTTGACTGCAGCATGTAAGTTTTAGAAGTCATGCCCGTTGATTTCTTTGCATCCAATCAGACAGAGATTTTTTTTCTGAATCGCCTGGAGATTTCAGTGCATCTCTTGAATAGAGCCCGACCAATATATAGTTTCGCCGATTTTATCGGCCGATATGAGACTGTCGCAGATATATTGGTATCGGCTAATATGCCACCGATATGAAACATTTTTTAGAGAACATAAAACGCAGATAAAATGCTTGTAAATGGTGTAGATACGGCGTTTGTCCAGCAGAGCACCCTCCATTGTTTGTTACTGGTGACCTGGATGAAACGCTTTAAAGCTTAGGGGAATACCATTGAAATTTTGAACGGCCATATCTCTGTAACGGCGCAGTGGATCCGCACCAAATTCGGGAGATCCGTTCAGCTCGAGGAACCCTCTCGAACACCGAATCAAGTGTACGTCTCGAGGCCCGCTTTCGAATGAGACCACCCCCTGCCATCGATAGCCCCCGGGATCCAGGAGTTACGGGTGGTTACATTCCCCGTCCGGCGCCGACCAATCTGGCGATCCTGGGGGGGCTACCGATGCGCGGAGGGTGGCGTTCGAGAGGGCTCCTCGAGCTGAAGGGATCCCCCGAATTTGGTGGAGATCCGTGGCCGCGTTCGCGAGATAGTGACACCAGCCAACACTTTCACTTCAGTAAGGAGGTCTCTTGTTCAGGCATCAGCATTCAAGCGTGGGCTTATTCGACCGTAAGTGCCCTGCGAAGTGGACTTCACATGATATTCCGCCATGATTCCAGTTCCAAGGGAATGTACACGTTGCATTCAAAGGGCATTAAAGTGCGCGAGACGTGAATTTAAATTATATTTATTTACAGAAGTATATTATGTCTAGAGGTCGACCAAAATGGGGTTTTCACTGGTCGATGCCGATATTTAGAAATCAGGGCAGCCGATGGCTGAATTTTTTGGCCGATATGTTTGGCCTTTTTATTTTTTTCCATTTATCTCATAAAAGTGAGTTTGAGCAAATGATTATTGCAGGGTACAAGATAGTAATGGTAGTAGTAGCCCAATTTAAAGTAATAATAATACATGGCTCAAAACTTGAGCACCTTCTCAAAACAGTTCTGAAGGATGCTTTTTGTTCATGTTTGCTGACAGACACCAGTGTTTCCCACAGACTGCAAATTAATTCTCTGCCAGCAGGAGGTGCTTTGGGAGCTGGAGATATAGCGGTTTCCCCGGTAAAGGCTGTAATCAAATAAGCGCTGCTCACAGACAAAATGAAAATGACATAGAAGCTTTTCTGAAGACAGTCGGTTCTTTTCAAGGGTACATTCATATAAAAACACCCGCGCTGCATTTTTGCATTTTCTGCATATTTTGTTTTATAAATAAATGTTTATTTAAAAGCATTCCACGATCGGCGTATTATGTTACCGTTATCCCTTACGGCCCCGATGAGGTTTTGTTCCGTCCTCCATGCTAACACCTCACCCGATACCGATGAACCCGCGCTGCATTTTAATTTTGAAACATGAAGTGCTCATTTTATTCAACGAAGCCTTTTGGAAAATCTATTTGTGGCGATCAGTTTTGATATTGTGATGAGCCGCCACAAATAACTCAATGTATAGGAAACACTGGACACTGCTATAAGTCAAATGGCCATAGTGATAACAAAAATAAAAGATTTCACACATATTACACAGCCTGCTGCTCATAACTGCTTAAGAGAGCGCTGGCCACAAGCGAATATATGACATTGTGGAGGCTATTGTCGGACCCACAGACACATTTCATGAGGAAAGTTAACGTGCACGTTATAATCAGCCCAGAAGTTTCGTCTGAATTGAACGCGTTTCTACTTTCACATGCAAATGACTTGTTGCACTTATGAATATGATAACTTTCCGGCATCAATTCTAGTAGGGTAAAACGTAATCCCGCTTTCAAAGCGGTCTGTTTTGCCCTGCCATTAGCTGAGGCTGTGTGTGAACAAGCCGCTGCTGCAGCCTGCAGAGCGTGAGCTGCTCAGTCTCACGCAGCCAGAGGGAGTTCCGCAACGACGCTTAGCTGCCCGCCAGTGCGCTGCCTATAAATCGGCCTAATTTGCAGCACAATCGGCCGATGCCGATTAATTTTTTTTTTTAAAAAAATCAGCCGATCAATCGGTTGACCTCTAATTATGTCACACTTCTCTAGTAAGTTTCATCTGTGTAGCGCAAATCCGTGAATGAATGTTCCGAAGTGAACGCCGTTTCGCGCCCCGCCAGTGCCCCTGCCTATAAATTGGCCTAATTTGCAGCACAATCGGCCGATGCCGATTAATTTTAAAAATGTCAAAAATCAGCCGATCAATCGGTTGACCTCTAATTATGTCACACTTCTCTAGTAAGTTTCATCTGTGTAGCGCAAATCCGTGAATGAATGTTCCGAAGTGAATTAAATTTCAACGGAATAAAGTTGAATGGAATTGAATTGAAATAAAGTTGAATAAACTTCAACTTTACTGTCAGACTCATTTTGGATAATAAAGTTTATTGTTAAATTGTTTAATGTCCTGCCTCCATTACATATCTTTGTCATGTCCTTATACGTGTTTGATCACCACATTTGAGTGATCATTGCAAAAAAATGTTTATGTATATATATTCTGTTTGTGTATATACTGTATTCTATACATAGTACCAGTCAAAAGTTTGGACAGACGAATGGGAAAGTGTCCAAAAATTTTGACTGGTACTGTACTATAATATACACTAAGAAAATCCGCCGATATATCGATACCGCCCTTTTTTTACTCCCTAATATCGGCATCGGTATCGGCCCCCAAAAAACCCATATTGGTCGGGCTCTACTAATAAATCCATGTTGTTGAGGCCTGATGGCGTCTCTGAGTATATGGGCCTGAGGATGATAATGCTTTCTTCCACAAGGATCTTGAGGGCTGGTGTACGATGTCGGACTTTGAGCTGCCGGAGGAGAGCCAGAGCCCCGAGCTGCTGCAGTTTCGTCTGGAGGGCAGCACCCTGCAGGAGCTCAGCAAGGGCAGCAAAGGGGAGCTCATCCCCATCTCACCCGGCGGGGCGACGCCTCCGTCCATCCTGAGCCGCCGCAGTCGCCGCCGCATCGCCCTGTCCCCAGACCCCAACGACTCCATGACCCCCAAGAGCACACCGGTCAAAATCCTGCCTTTCTCTCCTTCACAGGTACCGCAGACGCTTTCCACATCACTGCCATATTTTTACCTGATTATTAAGGTCCAGATCCACCAGTTAGCACTAGGGGTCGACCAATATGTTGGCTAATTTTTGGCATGTTTTTTTAGTTTTTTTGTTATCGGCATTGGACGACGTTTTGATGCCACAGTATATGACAAAATAAGTTTGTCAGTCAGACTTATCAAATTTTGCTGAGTGCACTGCTAGTTGCAGTTTAATTCCTTTTTTTTTATTCACATTTTCAACAGACAAAATCAAGACGTTGCATCTAAATAAATCTGTTTATTTTATTTTTTTAAATCAGGTTAAATCTTTATTTAATTTAATTTGAAATTATTTTAATCCAAAATTAATATAAATTTCACTAGCAGTTATGCATGTTTTTACTATCTTTATATATTGTCATATCAGCTTTTTATCAGCCACCATCAGAATTGACATCAGCCATCTTTTTCCAGCTAATTTAACCCTAAAAAGGGCAGAACCATAAAGAGACATCAAAAAATTTATGTATTGCTATTTTCTATCTTATTGGGACTCACATAATACAATTTAATTACATTTATTTTATTTTTTTTTCCCCAAAACTTGACTCTTGACTTGATTTTCATGTTTGTATCCCCCAGGATACGTTGCTCCTTTGGGGGTATAAATTCACTGAAAACCGAACACTTGTTTATCAATGCTTGTTACAACCTGGTGGTATTTCCTGAACGCTTTGGTATACAGACCTAAGGTTGGTCTCTTTTTAAAAAAGACGCATAGCAGATTAGTTCTTCATTTCAAAGAAAGAAAGTATAAAAAAGTTATAGAAGTTTAAGTGTGCAGTAAAGATAATGTAGTGTGTGTATATTAGAGATCGACCGATATGGGTTTTTCTATAACCGATGCCGATGTTTAGAGGTCAGGGTCAGCCGATGGCCGATATGTGCTGCCGATTTTTAGGGCCGATATCTTGAAGTTTTCCCCTTCATTTGCATGCTAAAATGTCACACTAATAATAAGTGGATGCACAACATTTCTAAACTTAACATCATAATTTATTGAACACTGACTTGAACCATCCCTCGAATCTTAATTTTGTGCACTGCACGGTATTAAAATAAAATATTTATCCAAAGTTAACCAAACAAATCAATAAACTTACCAAGTATTAAATATATAAAACAGGTAATAAAAAAAAACCTGTCAATCATTTACATAAAAGTTTTAGAGCATTTATCAAGCAGAATTTTTCAAGTTTGTTGGAACATAAATGTAAACGCTGTCTGTGAGCGGGGTGGAGTAACGTAGCCCTCGATCACGCTGCAGTGTTTGTGAGAGCTGCCACCTTCTCCACCCCACGCACAGAGTGAAATTCTCCGACTCCGATACAGGAAAAATAAAACAGAACTTATAACATTGGGGCTAATATGTTAGCAAGCAAGCTGCTGATAGTTTTCGACAACAGTCCTTAAAGTTAACTGCAAGTAAGCGAACCTTTAACCAGCTGTAGCATTATGCCAGTTCCCGACGGTTCTATGCTATTCGTTTTTTCTTTCACTAAGTGAAGCAACACTTCATAGTTTACTAGTAATATATAGTAAATATATGGCCATAGGACTTTGAAATATCAGAATTTAAGCCTTGCTTTTATCTCCCTGGACTGTTTGGCTTGGGGTCCTTCACATGCAGCAGCAGCACTTTCCACCGCACCAATAACACGGGGCTGCCCGCGGACGTGCCTGACTTTAAATCGGCGCTACTAAACACGGATATCGGCCGATGCCGATATATTAAAAAATGACATATCGGCCCGATATATCGGTCGACCTCTAGTGTGTGTGTATATATATATACATACATACATACATACATACAGGGGTGCACATAAGTGGTCCGCATGCGTGACCAAAATAAGAAATACGCTGCGTAAATTAGTTCAGAGCGCGCGTTTGCGTACCTACATGGTTGACAGCTGTTAATGCACAATTACCATTTTAGATCAACGAACTGTACTGTACACGATTTTTTTTATTCAAACTGAAAGCATAAATCTTTATGATCTTTAGCTAAATGACTAAATGTAAATCTAGGCTACCCACTAACGTTTTCAAAGCACAATGCAAAACTGACATTCACTGACGCTCTACAGTCAGCAGCGCTAAACCCAGAAGCACATATACTTACTTGCCGGCAACCCGCCCAAAAAAAAAGCTTGCTGATTTTAAGTTTGAAAATGAAAAATTTAAATAATACAAATTAAAAATAATAATTAAGGTTCAAATAAAAATAAAATGCTAATATTTTTATTAGAATTATTTTAAAGTTTACTATAAAATAATTGTATTTGTATTTAATACTCCCTTTTTATTTTAAAATAAAATCGTATTATCACACTTTATTATTTAGTTTATGATTTTATATATATATATATATATAACTAAATAAAGTGCAATAATATTATCACTATTATTGATTTTTAATAGTATATTTGATGGGTAACACCATGTGCCGCCGTGTAAGGACCAAACCAAATCTCCAGGCTGAAAAACTTATGTGCACCCTGATATATATATATATATATATATACTTTATAAAATGTTTCACTTTAAATTTCTATAAAATCAAAGCCATATGTCTAATCAAGTTATGTTCCAAATTTGAAGTTGATATCACAAAAATTGTGGTTCCTGTGAGATTTTGTTTGGACACTATACCAAAAATAACCACTGGGTGACACCCAAACTCCATTGAATTTTTTGATGCAGTTTTTTGTCTCAAATCAATAATTTTCTGTCACAATATCACTTCTATTACAAAACAGTCACCAAATATGGAACCTTGACTGTCAGACCTTTCCAACGATATGTTTCGTCAAGATTACAAAAAGCTTTGACTTTCTAAAACACAAGGTTTAAATGCTTCCTGTGAGCTAAACAAAGAATGTAAGAATGTATGAACAAAGTCAATATAACTAAATATTCACAACAAACACCATTTCAACATGAAATCAAGAAACGAGACCTACGCTTTCCCTGCTTCTCCCCACAGCTTCTCAAATATTTGTATCCCCCAGGATTAGGGATGCACCGAATGTTCGGCAACCGAAATTATTCGGCCGAAAATAGCAAAATAAAAGAGCTCTTTCGGTGTTGTAGTGCATAAGCGAAAAGACCGAATAAACTGTACCGAACAATGATATGACGCGATCAAATGGCAACCAGTGCAGAGTGAGAAGCGCGCACTCTTTACTATGCAACACACGTCAGCAGTGTGGAAGCATTTAAACTGTCGGAGAAAGACGCAAAAATCATTACAAGCACCGACAGCGAGAGACCGTTTAGGATTGCATCGCATGTCTTCAATGAGAAGAGGAAGGGTGGTTGTTGCTGGCAGAGGTGGACTTAACCATTAGGCAAAGATAGGCGACCGCCTTGGGCCCCAAAAGCCAAGGGCCCCCTAAAATGCTTTTTATATGCGAGATGCACATTCAGTGCGGACGCACAAGTAGTTGCTCTGGTGTTCATTCACGACAACCGTCTGTGCGTCTGCGTTGAACGTGTTTCTTAGCAAAAGTAGGGCGATGTAGAAAATGGGGACGGAATCTATTCATAAAAACAGAATTTACTGTGTAACGCGGAATGTGACGGAATCAACGTTTCGTTTGCTAGTTTGCTATTTAAGCTAAAGTAGTAGTAGCTAAATAGTATTTTTGCCATTTAATATTCACATACACTAGTCCATATCGTTTTGATTGAAGTGCACTGAATTGCATTTGATTAATTAGTAAATAAACTGCAGAACGTTATGTTTTCTAATATACGCACGCATTGCATGTATTCTGACAGCGCTGCACGACCTCGCAGCAGATCTGCTTGTTAACCAGGGTTCAAAGTTCAAAGCGCGAGGAAAATCTGCGCTGATACAGTCGTCCGTTGCTCAGTCACATTTTTATGAATTTTTACAAGGCATGTGACAATGCGATACGTACGACATATTCGTAATGAGACTCATTTATAAATCTGTTGTCAACAAAAAATAAGCATTGAGGTCTTCCTGCGCGTTTCTGCCAAAATAAAAGTTGAGAAAAAGCAAGAACTCTTATCAACATTCATAAATGTTAGTATTGTAATTTTACTGTTGTTCTGTAAAATAAAATAAATAGTAAGACAATAATAATGATGATAATCATTACAACAGCTCTGTTTTAATACATTTATTATAACATTCACACATAGTGTTCAAATTAGGATATGTAATATTTTCTAATGTTTTAAAAGAAGTCTCTTCAAAGCAAGGCTGCTTTTAATTGTACAGTAAAAAAAAATAAAAAATACATGCCTGATTCAAGAAGGGGGTCTGATGGCCAAACATTTTTATTTTACACACTTATTAATTGGAAGTTAAATAGTGCTTTGTTGGTATAGTGTCTGCTAGAATGTAAAAAATGTTCAGTGTTAAATATTTTTAAATTGTTGTTTTGGAATTGATTTTTTTTCTTTGAAAAGCAAGACAAAACAGTAAAAAGCACATTTTGGCTTTTTCATTTATGCAATGGTGACATTTTTTTCCGCAAAATACATGGGGAAAAAAACTCAAAAAAACGTTTTCTGCCTTCGGCCCAGTGTTTAATTTTGTTCGGTTTCGGCCAAGAATTTTCATTTCGGTGCATCCCTACACAGGATATGTTGCATCATGATCATCAGATATTTCAGCATGTTGCTGATGATATAACTGTTCTTCACAGAATGACTATATCATGGAAACATGTTGAAGATTAGCAACAGCTTAATTTATTACGACTCACTGTTGATTCGGTGCACCGCATTGTTTTTATTGACGACTTTTCAAACAAGATGTTGCCCGTTTTGATTTTTGTTTTGTTGTGAGCAGCTGAATGTGACGATATCTGCTTGTGTATAGCAAACACACACGCTCACAAATCCTGAAGAGAGAAACCATCTAACACGTTTGATTCAGAAAGGCTTTACAACAGTAGCTGTGCTCATTTATTTACTGTAAAATGGTTCTGAGTTTTAATATTATGTTGCTGTTTTACAGTTCCTTAATATGTGGACCAAGCAAGACACACTGGAGCTGGAGAATCCTTCTCTGACGTCGACTCCTGTCTGCAGCCAGAAGGCCACCGTCACGACACCCCTGCACCGCGACAAAACCCCACTCACGCAAAAGGAGAACTCCCTGTACGTCTCAGTGCTCACAGAGAGCTTTATTCACATCATTTCAGTTCAGAGGTCACTGTTAAACTCTTAATTTGCCCTCCTGTAGCTTTATCACACCTAATCACAAATCTGACCTGGATACGACTCCCCGAACCCCCACTCCATTTAAAAACGCCTTGGAGAAATACGGCCCTCTGCGGCCCCTGGTGAGAGTTTTCCTCGTTATTATCACATGTCTCTCACATACAGCTCACTGATGCTTGACCTCCTGTTTGATATTCTAGTTTTGATACTCTAAGTTGAAAACAAGTGTTTTGTGTCTCTCTTTTGGGTCTCTTAAGCCTCCGACCCCAAATTTGGCGGAAGACCTTAAAGAAGTGTTGCGCAGCGAGGCAGGAATTGAGCTGATAGTAGAAGATGAAACTCCTACAGAGAAGAAACGCAAACAAGTGGTAAGACAGCACACACAGACTTCTATATGGTGAATGGTAGACAACCGCAAATACAGCAGGCGATATTGCGTAGCTTGTCAGTGATCTACGGCTCTGTATAGTAAATGCCACTCCATTTGAAAGCAGGTGCTGGAGATTTACTACTAATCACAGAACTGGCTTTACTGACGAGATGCGCATGACAATCTAATAATGATAATAATAAGTCCAATGCCAGGAGACCCAACAAATCTGGAGGAGCTTGAGAGATTTGCTAAAGAGGAATGGACTATGACTCCTCAGGAGACATGCCTGAAACTTGTTGAGAACTACAGCAGACGACTAAAGGCTGTTATCAAGCAAAAGGGATGCACCATTGACTGTATCCATTAACATCAGAGGGCTAATCATTTTGACCTGTAGACTTTTTTTTATTTTTGGTTCTAATTTTGTTTCTATTTGTATTACAAACACTCCCAAGTTTCCTAAACTATGAACTATTATGTTTAGAAATGCTGTGTTGAAAAAATCTTCTCTCTGTTAAACAGCTCCTGGGAATTATTTAAAAAATGAAATATTTCTAATAATTTTGTCTTCAACTGTATATAATTATCAACATGTAAAACTAGTAGCAACATATTATATTGGATCACATGCTTTTATTTAAAAAGTTAAATATCGTCTTATCTAAATAAATTAAAACATCTAGCTTGAAAGTTTCTCTCTATTAAGTAAATATAAGAAATATTACAAAGGAGTCAATGCACAAATTAATAGAGAAATAAGTGTTTTTTTTTGTGCTTGATGGACCATTTATCATATTACATTTGTTTTCACTTTTCCTTTTAAGTGTTTATTAATGATTTATAGACTAATTTATTTACTTTTTTTTATTTAAATACATAAAATTGATGTGACTTGTTTATTTTCCAGGTGCTGTTATTTAATTGTGTGTCTCTTTTAACAGTACCGGCCGCTGATGAAGAAAGTGCGTAAATCTCTGGCTCTGGATGCCATTGACTGCAGTGAGACTGTTGCTGCACGAAAGCAGCAAATGAAACACACAGTCAAAACGAGTCCGAAGGTACAGAAACCGGACCGATGGTGTTACTGGGCAAATGCATCACTGAACAGATTTAAAGCGTGTTTTGTGTTTTGAAACTCCAGGCTCACATGGCACGGTCGCTCTCTCTCGTGTCCTCTTGTGATGTGAAGAAGGAAGAGAATGTGTTGGATCAAGGATTTATTCTTGGCCCGAATGAGAGCGGGCTGCCCACTAAAGCTGTGTCTCCCACACTGAAACAGAGTCCTCCGTTACCTGTGGTAAGTGCTGTTAGATCAGACAGCAACATGTTTACAAAACATAATTTTTTAATTTTTTACAAATTATATGCGATCATAATAGATTATCACAGCACAGCTAGTATGTTTAGTTTTTCTGTTGTCTCTGTTCATAACCGTCAAGTGTTTTAGTATGCAAAACCATTTTTGCACTGATGACAGACATCGGTTATGTGTTTTTAAAGGAATAGTTCATCCAAAAATGGATGAAAAAAATTCTGAAAATGTGTGCACATTCAGGCCATCCGAGGATGAGTTTGTTTGTTCATCAGATTTGGAGAAATATTGCATTGCATCAGTGTCTCAGCAATGGATGCCCTGCAGTGAATGGGTGCCGTCAGAAACGTCACAATAATCCACAAGTAATCAATGCCACTCCAGTCCATCACTTAACATCTTGAGAAGAACTGTGTTTGTAAGAAACAAATCCATTAAGATGTTTTTAACTAAAATACGTGTCCGTAATCCATAATAACGCTTCCTCCGATGAAAAAGTGTTCTGGTCTGAATTAGGGTTGTGACGGGGAGGAAATTTTCCCACCGGTTAATCGACGTGTGACAACAACAGTAATGCCTGTATCACCGCGGGGGCAGGGCGTTCCCTCTTTTCCTCGCTTTCCTTCGCTTTTAAATAGCTTGTAAAAACGCCGTGCCCATTTTACTTTCACTTTAAAACAGCGGCAATTTGGAGTAAAGCAATTGTTAGTTTTTAGTTTGTTTGAATTTTCCCTCTTTTCCTCACTTCCCTTCGCTTTTTAAATAGCTTAAAAGCGCCGTGCGATTCGAATTAGTGGCAGTTTGGCGTCAATTGCTTGAATGCAACAGCAAAATGCAACGTCAAACTCACTTTAGCCTATATATAAAACATAAAACTTTTATTAACAAAACAAATAAAAATACACCATGCTATAGGGCAAGCTATGCCTAATATAAAATAACAAATAACTTACAGCGCCGCGATGCAACAGCTAGCCGAACAAATAACTGAAATGGAGCAAAGGTACCCAGACTCTATTTTAATCATTCTTGGAGATTTTAACAAATCAAATCTCTCCCGTGAACTGCCAAAATACAAGCAGCACATTATGTGTCCCACCAGAGACGGCAATATATTGGATCACTGTTACACAGCAATAAAGGATGCATATCACTCTGTCCCATGAGCAGCTTTGGGGCTCTCTGATCACTGTTTGGTTCATCTAATACCGACCTACAGGCAGAAACTGAAATCAGCTAAACCTGTATTAAGGACTGTAAAAAGATGGACTAATGAAGCAGAGCAGGATTTACAAGCTTGTTTTGACCTCACTGATTGGAGCGTCTTTGAAGCTGCTGCCACCGATCTGGACGAGCTCACAGAGACTGTAACTTCATATATCAGTTTCTGTGAAGATATGTGCATTCCTACCAGGACATTCTTATCATTTAATAATGATAAACCGTGGTTTACTGGAAAAGCTAAAAAAATCACCAGTTTTTTCCCACAGGCTATATTCAGCCTGAACAATTAATCTTTCATAATTATACATTGTCCATCACAACTAACATAGTTATATTTATATTAAACTGCACACTTTGTAAATAACATATCTGCACTCTAACAAACATATCTACATTTATCTAAACAATTACATCTGTTCCTATACTTCTATTTCTGTATATAGTACATTATTTATTTTTTCTTTTTTTTTATATTAGTGTTATATTACATCCCTACTGTGTTATTCCTGCGCTATGTCTGTACTTCTACACTGGAAGCTCCTGTCGTCAAGTCAAATTCCTTGTGTGTGTAAACGTACTTGGTAATAAAGCTCTTCTGATTCTAAAGTTAAATAGGTGTATAGGCCTAATAAATAAGAAACTTAGAACTTTATTAGCAAAACAAATGTCAAATAAAATAAATAAATGACAGTTTAAATAAAGTAAAAATCAGCAAACAATGTGGAACCAATTAAATAAGAAATTAATGTTTAAAAAAAACTTCCAAAATCTCCTTAGATAAACGGCAAAAGTCAACAGGCTTTTCAAAATCCAAAATATTGCCAAACAGGCGCTTTTGCATCTCGTTTCGAAACTAAATCATCCGCGATCGTCTCGTCTGTCTCGCCTCACTCTTCAGTCAGCTGGACTCGCTCTCCTCACTGGAGAAATGAAGTCTGATATGTGATGCGACTGTCGTTCGGCACGCTGCATTGAGCAGCCGCGTTCAGTTTTTAATTGTAGTGTCTGTTCTTTTACTGAACTAAATGATTTTTATTACTATAAAAAAATCAAAACGTCGGTGCTGCGGTGGGCAAGTGACGTAACCGGTGTTGTGGCTTAACAACGGTATCACCGTCTATCGCGGCAAGCCTAGTCTGAATTAGGGGAGAAATCTGCACCGATCAAGCAGCGTTTACTAGCCAAAACGGCTCTAAACAAATATGTGGCTGGATTATTGTGGTGTTTTTATCAGCTGTTTGGAATCATTCTGACGGTACCCATTCACTGCAGAGCAAGTGATGAAATGCTGCATTTCTTCATAACTTACCTACATCTTAGATGGCCTGAGAGTGAGGACAATTTCAGCAACTTGTCATTTTTGTGTGAACTGTTCCTTTAAATTAGTGTTTTTCACTAGACAAAAATAGGCATTAGCATATGGTTATTTCATTTAAATAATTTAACTCTTACATTTCCAGTAACAATAATTAAGTCCTGATATATACTGCAGCCATGATTTTATAAAATTATCCATGAAACGAATCGTCCATGGGGAACAAAAAGTTGTCTAATCATTTTCTTCTTCTGATAGATGTCTCCAGCCTGGGAAACTGTTGTCTGTGGACGGACGAAAGACCAGCTGATCATGACAGAGAAAGCAAGGCGCTACCTTCGCTCTTTAAAATCTCATGCACCAAACCGAGCGCTCATACTTTCCTGATCCCACGCCGAGTCCCAGTGCAGCTTCTGGATCATTTTTCTACAAAGCATAATGTCAAATTTGTTGATAAAAAAAAAAATAAAATGTAAATGTCATGTAGAATATGAAACCAATTACTGTTCCAGAATAGACACTTTAATGCTGATAATGCTCTTGTCCTGTTTTCATTTAACCCTGTATAATAAGTGTTGCTATTTTTTTAATTTATGTATTGTCAACCTGTTTTTGATGTGGCAGCAAATATAAGCTGAGTAAATGATCAGGTTGCTGTTCAGGGATCTCAGTATCATTTTATATTCTGTTCTGCATATCTGTAAGGATAACTAGACTCGCTCATGTGATGTACTCGCTGTATATACAGTCTGTATTAAAAGAAATCAGTTGACACATCTTCAAGTTTTGTAAACTTACATTTAAGACCTCAGGCTAAGGTTTTAATTCGGTGTGCATAGAAACAGGATTTGTATTTTTATTTTATCTGAAAAAGAAACCTAAAACAGCCACTGTCTTGCTGGTAACATTTAGACCATGTATTTCTGTGTAACTAGCGCATTCAAAAATAATCATCTCCAAATTTCAGGAGAATTGAAATGGTTAATTACCTTGTTCTTTGGTAAAAGCTGTATGTTATGCATATTTAAAGTTGAGCTGAGATGGATGTAAGGTGCAGTTTTATCTGGTAGTGTACAGACATGCAGTGATAGTATTGCGCTAAATCAGATGTAAATAACTGAGCCTGTAACACATTGCAGTAGTTACAGCATTTAAATAGAGGCAAAGTTTTTGTTGTTTTATGTGGGGTTGTGCTGGATGAGTTTTTCCCCCAAGGAACATAAATGGACTTACCAAAAGGTCAGCTGTGCTGTTTTTCTATACCATGAACGGATGCATGATGCCCCAGAACAGACTTATTGCTTTTCTTGGTTAAATAGAAATAGCATGTTACAGAACGTTACTTAAGTGTTGCACATGGTGAAATGGCAGAAGCCAGAGTTTCTCAGGATGATTTTAGCCAAACTCTTTCATGGGTAGTCCGTTGACTGGACTTTACTAGAGCTGGCGTTTTAACTTTGTCCATTCATTGTGAGGCAGGTTATCTCTTGACTACATCGTGTCTGTGAATCAGTTGCTCAGTCCGTCTGGATCTACTGAATTGCATGACTTCTACTGAAAAGTTTTGGCTACCTTTGACTTGTATGGACCAAAAAAAAGAGGCATTTATGAAAATACCTTCCATTATGTTCCACAGATAAAAGAACACTACAGGTTTGGAGTCATATCACTTACAAACACACATTTGTGTCATGTCCAATCAAAATAAGTTTGTCAACATATGCAACAAGTGATCTCTGTAATTTGATCTCTTTAATGATAGCACATAGAAAGCAGATCAAACACACATACTGAAAAGGACTTCACTTGATGTTCGTATCATTCTGAGACTCTTCTTTGCACTGCAACACTTTGTATGTTTTCCACTTTTTATATTTTTTAGTCAATTGGTGTTTACAGCCCTCTTCAACCAAACCACTACAACCGGAGAAGACCTCGATGAACACGCCTAAGCCTAAGATGATTGCATTGTGCTCATACTGTAAAGCCATAGGTTTTCGGCTAGGGAATCTCATCTTTGTTGCCATTTTATGCTGCACATTTAAAAATGTATAATGACTTCTTGCATTTTTTTTCTAAGTGTTACATAATTGTAAGTAGTAGGTGATGCATAGAACTGCTGGGTACCTGTCTTTAAAGGAACACTCCACTATTTTTGAAAATAGGCTCCTTTTCCAACTCCCCTAGAGTTAAACAGTTGAGTTTTACCATTTTCTAATCCATTCAGCCGATCTCCGGGTCTGGCGGTAGCACTTTTAGCTGTAGCTTAGCATAGATCATTGAATCTGATTAGACCGTTAGCATCTCGCTCAAAAATGACCAAAGAGTTTCGATATTTTTCAACTCGACACCTCGACACTTCTGTAGTTACATCGTGTACTAAGACCGACGGAAAATGAAAAGTTGCCATTTTCTAGGCCGAGGAACTATAGAACTATATTCTCATTCTGGCGTAATAATCGAGGAACTTTGCTGCCGTACCATGGGTGCAGCAGGCGCAATGATATTACGCAGCGCCTGAAAATAGTCCCCAGCTAGGTAACTTCCATCGTGACCGGCACTAAGTTTGTGTAGTTGGTTATGTTGACGGAAGTTAGCCTATTTTCAGGCACTGCGTAATATCATTGCGCAAATATAATGAATTGGATTATTTAGGGCCTGATGTGAGATACTTTATGATGAACATATTTCAGGCTTTCATTTCCATCTTGACGATGATCAACAATACATACATAAAGCATATCAAATATGGTAAATGCAGAAGTTCAGCAATGATATTTTGTTCACACGTGTCTGTGTTTACCAGGTGTGATGTTATGTATGTGTTTGTAAAGCCTAATCAACATGATTTACATCTGTGATTTACAAAAGTGTGTTTGTAAGAAACAAATTCATCAAGGTATTAACTTCTAGCTTCTGGCTAAATTGAGAGTCCACAATCCATAAAAACGCTCCCTAAAACCGAAGTATTACAAATCTTTCTTATCTGCCCAGGCTAAATAGTCTAGTGCTCATGATGCATCTGAAGGTACTCTACCTATATACACACGATTGTCTATATATTAATCAGCCTGGTCATGTTTTGTATTTATATTATATTTATTAACTAATATATTTCTGTCATGACAACTCTTGGAGGGATTGGCATTGTAATGTACATGACAATGTTGATGTGTTTGGTCTTGGCGGAATAGATCTGCTGTGCTGCTGCTGCGGCAGAGCAAGTACCGAGACTTGCTACTGCCAATACATCCACAACATGCTGCTGTGAGCATGTAAGAAATACTGCTGCTGCACATATAACATACATAAAATAACCCCCATATAGCATACATGAATCACCTCGTAGCAGATCTATACAGGTGGAGTTGGGGAAGGAGGAGGGTTTCTGAAGCAAGCTGCACTGCTACGGCAAGCTCTAGTCATATATTTGAATGTCATTGGCTACCGATACAAGAGAGAACCAATCAGCTGTGCCATGTGATAATGATGTCATTAGGTCAGATTGAGTTAGACCTATCGGACTGCGCTGTCTAGAGTTTCATGCCAGAACTCTGTATTTATATTATGCTATTACATGGTGGTTTGGGGGTCTTTGAGTCATCCATGAGCACACTCCTAAATATATTACACACAGATTCACACCTTCCTCTTTTTAACCCATTTAATCCCACCAGTCCCAATAGTGACTGTAAAAAAGGTTTTCATTTATAAAGCTCTAAAAACCTTACTGACTGACGTTTTAGCGCACTTCCTGCAAATATGGAAAAAATACAGGGCCTCAATGAAATATGTGCAGTTTCACATGATTAGTGCAAACTGTCACATTACCAGAGCAGTTTATTTCCTGTTCGCACCTTGAGAAGATGATAACTGCATCAAAGCTCCTAAACGAAAGGCTAGTAAAATATGTCAACATAAAGATATGACAAAGATTTTTGGTAAACATTATCTTTAAGGTGTCTAGTATTAATATATGAATTCACATATATTCAGTTTTGTTGAGTGTGGTCATAGAATGAGTAAACATCTTGATGGTCACAATAGTGACCGGTGGGATAAGAGGGAATTTAGGCTTACAATATAAATCCAGTTGCAGTTGCTAAAATTACACTAAAATGTTGCAATGACAAAATATTGCACTAAATTAAAAATTCTAATGTTACAAAAAAAATTACAATATGGATGTTGTAATACTGGTAGCACTGATATAAAAATGTGATGTTATATTTTACAAAAAAGTAACCATTTTGAAATGCGTTGATGGTTGAATTTTTTTGTTTTTTTTATCTCATTGTTCCTATCAATGTTGCATAAGGTTTTTTATGCATAATAATAACCCTAGAATGTGATCAAACAGTTTGAAATAGCTGGGCTAAGATATATATATAAAAAAAATTATGACTACAGAAATATGTTAATTCAGTACTCACCTTATCCCACCGGTCACAATTGTGACTGACCATAAAACAATTTTTCACACAGTTTTCCAAAAAATTTGAAAAATTATTATTGATTATTTCAAAGGGTTACTAATAACACATAATTTGGATATTTTCATGTCTGGGAAAAATTTGGGATTA